AAATTCTTTCTGCTTAAGAAAACATTCTTTTGATCTTCAAAATCCAAGAATGTTTTGATGAACACTCGTGGTAAACCCACCTTCATTCGTCTCTTGCACGCCAACATCAAACGCCAGCTTGTCGTTGGAGGAGCATGATGAAAGGCACGCCAAGTACTGCAAAATGATATGATTCAGCTTCAGTGTGATCGTTTTATCGGCGATGCCAAAGACCGTTAGTAGAAAGACAGTTTATGGAGGATGCGTGCATGCTGCTAGAAAGCTCGCCGTGTATAAAACAGAACCGTTGCCTGCATAAGTTTTCGTCGGAATGCGTTGTATTTACAGTAGTTCTTACTGGGGTTGAAAAATAAAACAACAAGCACACCCGAACGGGTGAGGTTCACTTATTCTTCTTCCTTTCGTTAGACTCTGTCTACTCTTACTGCCTGAACTATTCGTCGTCCGGCAATAAACTGTGAAGCAACTTCGGAGTACGACGAAGCAGTGTAGGTGGGAGTAGTACATGATAAGCGTGGCAGCTTGTCATTGACAGAAAGTCACGTGCAGATACTCAAAAGCGCAGAATTACTATTCTTGGGTGGATTAGGAGATATCATCTGCGACTTATGTTATCTGTTGGCTGTTTAGCTATGCCTTATTGTTAGGCCGATCATATATGTGACGACTGCGTGTGATGTCGTAATGCGTTATAACTAAGAGCTTGAACATACCTTTTTGTCTGCCATTATACCATAAATGGGGGAGTGGGCAAAAAAGACACATCGCCCATGACGCACATCACACTTTTCAACACAAGAAGTCTCGCCCTTGATGAAAGTTTTACCACAAAATCTTCCTTAGGTCCCCCCCCCCCACTCAGGCAGAAGCATACCCTCCTTCACTCCCTCACCTACCTCAAAATATGACATAATCTGCTATTACTGTCAATCTCCACTACTGAATCGATTGAATGTACTAAGGTAACTGCTTTTGCCTGGAGCACCTTTTGCCTAGAGCTCTTTCGACCTGCGTTTGAGATGGGATTGCAGCAGGAATCCACAATAGGCAATCCTACGAGGACCTTGGTGGGTTTAAACAGTGCTTCGTGTTTCGTGGAAATTCTTCTGATGCTGTTAGTGTAAACGGCTTCTACGAACGGCTTCTACGCTTTTTTGATGGCATGGGATGGGACTCTCAATTTTTAGTTGGGTTGAATTTAGCATTCGGTTTGAATTTAGTGAAGTATAATTAATTCCGTTTTTCGAGAACTCTTAGAAAGTCATGAGAAAAATTGCCCCTCAATTCTTCTCGAGGCGCATCACACTTTATACCGTTGTCAGTGTAGAATCGTAGTGAAACTACAATTACGCCTAAGGCTGTAAATGGCCATCCTTGACTTGCTTCTGGGTACTGCGGCTCATGCGAGGTATAGGTGAAAAGAACCGCTCCTGTCCCTACCGTGTATACTTTTCTCAGCAACTCAGCTTGATCTTCATGCTCCGTCAACGTGCGTTGGCTCTATGAACTTATGATGCACACACGATGCAACTGGAAAAGGCACATGGTTGTCGCACTCGATTTTTCCACAGAATTTCTGTCCTACGGTAGGGAGGGTAGTTACAGACAGGTAGGCCGGGGAAACCAGCGCAGACTCGAACAATATGCAGCAGCAGCAGTAGAGTCCATGACCATGGGCTGAGAAGCCGAGTGCCAATGCGAAGTGCGTGGCGCGATCTCAGTGTTTTCCTCCGCAAGAACTCAAGTAGCGATGCTACCAGCATGACGTATTTAGACCATGGGCACATTTCAATCTGTTGGTAAAAGGAAGGAAGAGTTGATCTGCTCACTGACCATCTCACTCTGCACGTGTTTCAGTTGAACGGCATGGCCATAAAGCAGTGTTTTATGTCCACCAGCACCAGAGGCAGATTTCTGAAAGTGACCACACGTTATGAAGACGAAAAACTCTCACAATAGACCTGTGAAGCTTTATTTACGCGCACAAAGTCTACAATTGTTTGTCTGTTTCACTTCCTCAGGCGACTAGGCAACAAAAACCTTCGGAGAAAAAAAGAAATTTCCGCTATGGGAAGTCTACCCAGCTTCCTGATTAGAAATTCGTGTGGAAAGTAGTATCGAGTATTGGGTTTGAACTAAGAGTTCACCACTACTGCTCATTCGATGGTGGCGACTAACAAATAAACTTGCAAAAACTAAACACATAAAGTTTTTTTCATATAAAGTAAAAAAACAAATCCCCGTACATGTTCTGAATCCGCCGACATCATCTCCTGCGCAGAGCTCTCATTGATAAGTGCGTTGTCTATGTAGAGCATGCATATTGCTATGTCGGGTGGAATATCCTGAAATCCAATGAACAACTAAACAAGCTCCCCGAAGCTTTTCCACACATTTTAGGTGATTTGTGGGAGGCTTACATTTAAAACAAGATATGTTGCCAGCATCAATTTGCCCGCGCCAGCCGCCACTCGCATAGCAACAAGCGTAATGCACGTTCAAAAAGACCCATCGTCGTTTTTATCATGCTTCGTGGTAACTTCGACCACCTTGGGCCACCCACCAATAACATTTGACCTCCTTTCCTTCGCCCCTTTTATCAAATTTACTCGGCGTCCAGGACTTCTTTGGACCGAGTGATAATGTTTATTGGCTAACTCCGCCCATTCTGGTGCACGCCCCACCCCCTTCAAAAACAGTTGAACCACTTTCCGCGGCTAAACTGTGCCCTCTTTTTCCCCATTTCTAGGACTTCGTAGACCGACTTATGAAATTTCGTGACAAGCTCCGCCCACTTCAGTGCGCGCCACGCCCACCGATAGCAGGTGAACACACTTCCTTCTATACGCTTTCCACTTTTTTGGTTTCTGGGACTTCTCTGAATCGCTCTGAACCAAATTGCGACAAATCGTAATACACACTGCTTTCTGAAGGCGAGCTTCGCGTACCCTAGACAGGTTCTCTAGAAGTTCGGGTACGCCGGATACCCTCAGATACTGCTCTCCTATGCAATTTTTGTCTGCTCAAAAGCTGTCTCCCATCAGATCCATGATTTGTTCTGTTAATCCCCCTTCAGGAATACCCCCCTACACCACGACGAAAGCGGGCCCTCCTTTCTTCCTAAGCATTTGGGATGCCTCTTAATCGATCAAAGTTTTGCAAATCAGCCAATTTTCGCGCGTGCGACGACCACTGTATAGTTGAAGCAGCACTGACTGATATTTGTTCTATTCTCTTCACCCATATCCTTACCCATTCCCAATTGACGCCAGATTAATCTATTTTCTCAAGTATAGCCGAATGTGACAGATGACAAAAAGACACACATAGACATTCTCAGAGCATTTCATGCTACAGCAGGGATTGGGTGATGTCGACATGGGAGGCGAATTACCATAAATATGTATTTTCAAAAAATCCAACCAAAAGGCAGCGAACTATTGATGCTAATAAAATAATGTAAGATCAAAGAAAATGTGATAATCTTACTCTGTCGGAAACGTTTTCCAGCGTATACACATACGATTACCGAAGCCTTCGGTGCAAAGGCAGACACGTTCGGAACCGAGAACGCCATCGCGATTGTGTGATGCGATGCACGAAAGGCACACAATGTCACCCTGAAATCACAGAATACGATCAAATAAAAATTGGAAAATTCGTGATGAACATTTCTCATATGCAATTGTCATTCTGCGCCGTAAAATTTAACGACAATTCATCTAATTCATGACTGCCGATGATATTTGTTAAAGTCTAGAAGAGAGGTTAATGCGAAAGGTTCTATCCTTTTTCCCGTTCCTCTCTTGTTCTGCTACTACTGCCTTACATATACTTCCTCACTTTGCAAATGATTCAAAGTAAATAATATGTATAACTTTTCCTTCGGCTCTGCTCAGCAGCTTCAATACTATTGAGTTAACCGTGAGCCGCCACAGTCGCCGCATGTACGATTTTGCGTGGAGGTTTGCTCATTTCAAGTCATAGGTACCCATGGAGTGTGAAAGTAACCTGTTTTCTATATTACTTTCATTTATATTTACTTTCATTTACCTTGCATTCAGAAGCCACAGAGCAGCAAGGTAGGTGCCAAACTCTGCGGCAGTCGCGCGGAATCGCAAGTGCAGCTAGCGCCGAGACGTAAGCTACATGATCAATAATGGGCGGATGCCTCAGCGATAGGGACTGGCCAGCTGCTAATTGTTGGACAAGAGAAGTGCATCCTTTGAAATAGGTCCGTGAGGAAGGCTACCGTTTCAGGAGAAAAGGCCTGGACTCTGTCTTGAGTCTGGTCTATTACGCGGAGTGGCTGTCGTCCTGGTAGTTCTAGCGCATTGGAGAGCGCTGAGGATTATTTCCAAATGGAAAGCTCATTGATACTACCATGTGGTTTGCGCAGGATTGAAGAACCCGCAGGTCTACATCGACCGTAGTTTTGAATTGTGGCAGACATTGTCTTTCCACCAGTGCAACCTTTTTCCCGTACTGACAGGGCGATTCAGACCTGGCTGGATAGCTACGGCTCGCTGGTCTTCCCCGCCCCTCTCTTGCTTGCTCCCAGCTCTGAATCTTCAGTAACAAGAATGGGCGGAAGAAGCTCGAGACCGAGAACGGTGTCACGCTAGGGGAGGGGCACGCAGGCCTACAGATCCATGTTTCAAAATTCCCTTTGGGATAGGGAGATTAGTAAAGTACACATACATTGGCGACACCGGCAGTGCATACCTTTGACCTCCGGGTTGTCCGTTTCACAAACATGTACGAATGTTTGCGATGGCAAAGTTCCAAATGAAGCGTTGCTTATTTTACATTTTATACAGAATTTTCATCAAACGAATTTATGAAAATCAAGGTTTTAGGGAAATACAATGGAAATAAAATCGTTTACAATAAAAAAAGCATTTGAAACGAAAAATTTAAACAATGGTAATTGAGAGCGCAATTTACTCGTGAGCGCTTGTACAAAATTTTGAAGAAAAATAGTTATTTCCAAAAAAGACATTTTTCATGGTCCACCACAAATAATCGGAACTCCGTAGAATTCTAAAAAATGGGCTGACAGTTCTACTGAACCGTATCAGCAACAAAAACAGACAGAATTCTGACAAATTTTAAATGCATTCGTTTTTGTGCATGAAATTCAGCTGGCTTTGTCGTCTCATAGAACGTCTGATTATTCTTACCTTCATCACATAATGGTTATCCTCATGGAATTCGATGATCGAATCGTAATCCATTATTGACTATTATTGAGGTATATTTCAGTCGAAAATATTTACATATAACACCACGGTAGTCCCTAATGGATTGAAGTAGATGATTAGCTGCGATGATGACGACAAGAAGGCAGCATTCCTGAGCGGTATTATAATATTACTGAAAGCATATGCGCTAATGAGTGAGCGACTATGGACGGAAGAGAGAAGCAGCAGAGGATTTCAGCAATTTCATTAACAAACTGGTTCATGTGATTGGTGAAGAGGTTTCAGAAAATGCAAGAAATTGTGAGGTTCGGTCGGAAATGCTGACAGGGAGCTTCCCAGAATTTTTATGAAGAATGTCAAGCCGTAGCCATATTGAAACTTTTTGTTTCTTGAATATATCCATTGTTCTGATTGCCTCGATTAAACTGATTACATCTGCTTAATTTGTTTTTTTCCCTCCCTCAAGGACTTCTGCAAATGGAGCTGCAGTTCGGCAAGGTTGGCGGACCTACTAGGTTGGTATCCGGAGCTCTACTTCCATGCCTCTTGACCTTGCCCAGCCCACTAGCCCTTCTGCGTTTTATTTCCACTCGATGTCCTGGCGGATGTCCTTTTGAGGCCCATTTGGGTGCTTCGCTAACACTTGTCGGATATATGTTTCTACTTATTTTTACGTTTTGTTTTTTGTAGCTCTGATTGCCGATGGTAAATATGAGTACGAATGAATTCAAATTCTCTATCTTCGTTCCGTTCCTTACTAGGGAGCACAAAGGGAGCGGGGGAATATTGGCAAGCTCTGACTACTGTCTTGAAGCATGGAAGATGGACTAAGTCTCTGATTATTCCGCGCCTTCTAATGCTTTAAAATTTTCGAGTTTATAAATGTATGAAAACTTATTCCTTATTCTTGAATCCACCGTATCCGAATTTTAATGATTACATCAAGAGCACAAATTCCAATGATCTCCCTCAAAAAGTGGACCGATTCGAAACTGTGGGAATTCACTTAGCCATCCAATCAAAAAGGCATAATCAAGAGCCAGCAAGTCTTTTTTCGCACTGCTGAATCAAAAGAATTACTCAATCAAGGCGCGTGAATGAGGCAGCAGATCTGTTCAAACCAATTGGCGAAAATCTCAGTGTATTGGTGCAAAAGAGGCTCGGGTTCTAAAATGGTGGCAATTCCTTACCCGCCCAGTATAAAGATAGTCCATAAGGTGCAGAGTGAAATACCAGTACTGTTTTTTTAACATTATTTTTACCTTACGGATTCCGGGCCAAATTCAACCGTTAAAGTTGTTCCTTGATCTAGGAGTGCAATTTTGTTGGGAAGAATCAAGAGTAACGGAGGGTGCAAGCGAGGAATACCTATCCAAAAGTTGTCGCTCTCCTTGGTTAGGGAAACGAATCAGCTGGAACATATCTGCCTCTGTAAACACAAATGTTCTTTACAGTGCCAATTGTGGGCAGAGTTTGGTTTGGCACAAAGTTGTGAAAAATTTGAAGCACATGAAGCCGAAAATGCTGCTTCAAAGAAATCAGACTTGGTTTTGGCGGGACTCAGTTTCTGCTAGAAAAGTAGAAAAACATTTAGCATCTAAGGAACATATGCTTTGGCCAGTGCCATGTGTGCGTTTTCGTCAATACAATGCTCAAAAAATGCAAAAAAAAACAGCAGAAAAGGTCAATGCAACCCTTAAAATTTCCGTTGAATATTACAAGCTCCAGAATTAAAGAGTAGATGAGCAGGTGCTGTCTCCGAAATAATGGGAAACCGAGCAGCGAGGAGAAGCCTGGCAAAAAATTCGCAAGCATTTACTATCAATATCTAAAATCTATATGAGAAGCAGTGGGTGGTTAATGACGTCGGCAAGCCGCCGAAAGCAACTCTAATCGGCCAAAGAACACGTGGTGAGATTCGGTTAATTGCTGTGTCGATGCAGAAATACTGACACACGTATAATTGCCTAGTAATGGGAAATAATTCAATAGGTAGTGAGAATCGAATCAATGCCTATATTATGCCATATGTGAACTAAGCAAATGTCAAAATTCAATTGAATAATTGACATTAAAACCCCAAAATTGCTTATTTATAAACTGATGACACCAGTCGCTCTACGATCTGAAAAGATCGAATTGTGATGTGGAAGTTCAACCCTTCAAAACTGGCAAAGAATGAGCTGGTCAACGTCGGTGCAGGGTGAATTTATGGGTTGAGCAATCTCAACTGCCAGGTGGTTTGAACCAAAGCGCAAGATCGCGTCTCTACGTGCTCAAATCGTTGGTCTATCCAAGAGGCTTCAAGCGCGATTAACTGCAGAGATCATCTATGTGTAGATAAGCAAATTCCATGAGTAATAATAAGGCCTTGAACGGTAACATGACCTCCTTCTCGGAA